AAAAAAAAATAAATAAATAAAGGTCACAAAATTGTTCAAGATAGAATAATATGGGGATTTGTCATTAATCCCTATAGATAATAGTTTACTACAATATCATAAAAGAAAATAAAAGCACCATATCAGCCATTTTCTTAATCTGTTTTTCATATCTCTTAATTTGCTCCTGAAATTTGGATGAGCCTTCAGCAGCTTCTTGCACACGCAGTTTTTGTGCTTCCTTCTGTTAAAAGAGTAAAACTTCATATCACCACTAATATCGATACAGGTATCTACTTATAAAAAACGCGGCCTACAGATTGATCAAGATAAGGAAATAAAAACTCGCCTGCAGTTGAAAAAGTTTGTTTGTATACGGTTTTTTTCCATTGTACTTCACAACTTCATCAACTAGAGCAATAAGTTTCTCAACTTGTTCGAGCCTCTTATTCGGATCTTTGGTCCGGTTATCAAATAAAATGCACCTATGTCCACATTTTTCGATAATTTCCTACGCAAAATACCACATTAACTAACAAAACAAAACAAAACAAAAGATTTACCACCGTAATTATAATATACCTTCAAAGGATCGGGACAATCACGACCCAAGTAATCATCGAGAGTCTCTTCATTCTCCTCCAGGTCATCACCACCGGTAAAAATTAAAATCATGTAATTGGTAATTTTCTCACCGAAGATTTCAATCATGCTCTCGATAGCAGCTTTCTCCTCTCGTGAAAAACGCGACCTGACGGACAGGACAAACAGGACAGCATGGATACCATTATTCGCCATGTCAATGCACTTGACGATTTCCTTCCCAACTTGATCTTCTCCACCCGAAAAATCAAACAACCCTTGGAGAAAAAAATTGAGTTGGTTAAAGTAAAACTAATCACAAGTTAGAAAAATGCAAGAGCCAATATTAGATTCTTTTATATGCATAATACCAGGTGTGTCGATAACATTAAGTAGAGACCGATTTTCGAGCCTGGTTCTCTGAAGCTCACATGTGGCAGTAACACTGCCTGAGCTAGTCTTGGAATAAAATGCCTTTCTCCCCAATAAAGTGTTCCCTGTTGAGCTTTTTCCGTTACCGGTTTTTCCAACTAAAACGACAGTTCGAGCCTTATTCGGAGATGATGTGAACTCCCAATCTAAGCAAATTGCACTGTCTCCTCCCATTTCTTCAAACTAAAAAAATGTGGAATGTAGCATTAATTAGCCTCAAAATATTATTTCATATTAAACAAAAATGTAGTGCAATTACAATATATTGTGCATCAGCATTCAGCCACTAGAACAAAAATGTGACTGTATAATCTGCAGATGTTTAAATTTTATACAAGTTAAAAAAAAAAAAAAATACAGATATAAATTGTAGAATAACTAATCATAACCCGCAATATAAGATGCAGCATAACTATCAAACACAGGTGAACATATAAATGGTTAAACTCAAAATGCATACAAATTAAAACAAGAACACAGATTGGCAATACCTTGTTCAACATGAAATCAATGTAATTTTCTTTTAATATTTTTTCTTAAACAACAAGTAATGATACTAAGGGACTGAATCTGAGAGTGAGTTTTTATAGTGGAATGTGAAATGATTAAGGTTGTTTTTTCTTTTAATAATTTTGTTAAACAACAAATAATGATGATACTATAGACTGAATCTCTGGAGAAGAAGATGAAGAGATGCTGATAATCAAAGATCACTACTTTCTTGAGAATACCAAAAGATGTTATAATAATGATGACTGATTTACATCATAATAGTACAATTGTTTTTATTCATTATTACTACATATAAAAATTAAAATATGAATTAATGTCTTTAGACTTTTCATTTTTAACATTTTGTTTGTTTTACAAGGTTCATTTAGGTGTTCACAAGCTCAAGTAGAAATTGGGTTATTGGAAGGAGTTGATTTTGACAAAGAAGACAATACAAACTAGATTACCCTTGACTAGTTCATAGTAAACGCTCGCTCGTTCGAGCTTGAAGAAGGTTACTATACTTCATTTAGTAGTCGAGTCACCTTTTCGTTTGATAATCGAGCTAAACTCGAATGAAAATTTAAGCTCGTTTTGTTAATCATTGTCGGATACAATAATCTTCACTTCCAGAGATAGAAAAAACCAGATTTTATCCTTTTCACAAACTTCGTGAGTACACCCATATTTTAAACAAGGGTAATGATTTATTATAAACGATTCTTACATAGCTTTCAACAAGTGACATTGCTCTTATTTTAAGGAAAATAACATAAATCTTCAAGACAATACAAACTTAAACCATAAAACATTCTGCATTAACTCATAAATTTTCTGTCCCGAAAACATAAAACTTTCAATCATAAATATTCGAAGTCTATTCAAACATGTTTAAATCATAAATATAATTGTTGATTACAAAATAGGGCAGGTGTTGATTTTTCTGGTTTCTGTTCTAAGCTTTTCAAGCCGTTTATTAGCCATCTCCAAAGCATAACTCATCTCGCGAAATTCTTCAGTCGACCGCTTGTAAGCATCTTTAGCTGCAACCTCTGCCCTGAGCCGAGCCTCACGTTCCTCGGCCACTTGCTGCTCGAGCTTACGAGTCACCTCACTCATATTTGTCGACTCAATCTGCATTATAATTATTTTTTTTTTCAAAATAAAAATAAAAAATATTATTTTGTATGAACGAAAACTATAATATAATCACTAGGGAAAAAAGGATAGAGGAAAAAAAAGCACCATATTATTAGTCATTCTCATAAGCTGCTCTTGATACATCATAATTGCTGATTGCTCCTCATGCTTAGATGAATTTGCATCAGCAGGTACATGAAAAGTACGCAATTTCATTTCCTCCTATTTAACAACAAACAACAAAGAATTGAAAATTATGTAATACATTTCTATGAAGAAGCAGAGAGCAAATGCTTTATCAAACCACCAAACAAAAAAAAAAAAAGCACTCGCCTTGAGTTCGACAAACATCTCTTTAGTATACAGTTTGCCGTCATTCTTTTGCATGACCTCGTCAACTCGAACAAGAAGTTCCTCGAGTTGCTTTCGTTTCTTGCACGAATCTTTTGTCCGGTTATCAAACAGAACACATCTATTTCCACACTTTTCGAGTAATTCCTGCCAGACAAACAATTTGCCATCTTTATACACAAAAAAAAAAAAAAAATATTGTCTTTCTAAAACTATAATTACCTTCAAGGGCTCGGGACAATCGCGACCCAAGTAATCATCGAGAGTCTCTTCATTCTCAGCCAGGTCATCACCACCGGTAAAAAGTAAAATCATGTAATCGGTAATTTTGCCACCGAATATTTCGAACAAGCTCCAAATAGCATATTTTTCTTCTTGCGAAAAACGGAACCTTGCCGAGAGGACCAAAACAACAGCATTGATACGGTTTTTCGCCATATCAATGCATTTCACTACTTCCTTCACGAATTTCTCATCTCCACCCGAAATATCACACAGCCCTTTTCAACACAAAATCACAACAAACTAATGTAATAAAATAAGAAAAAAAAAAACATTATCTTTCTATAATTCTTGCAAGTTTTATACCGGGAGTGTCGATGATATTAAGAATCAGCCCGCTTTCGAGCTCGGCAGTTTGTAGCTCACAAGCGGTGGTGCCGCCACCAAAGTTAGCATTGGACTTAAATGCCCTTTTCCCGAGTAAACTGTTCCCGGTCGAGCTTTTCCCATTGCCCGTCTTTCCAAGTAAGACGATGGTGTAAACTGAGTTCTCACTTCCTCCCATTTTTTCGGACAACTATGCGCGAAAATAGCATTAATTAGCTTCAAACCAAAATCAAAAAAATCTTGGACAAAACTGTGAACTTGATTATGCAGTTGTGATTTTTTTCTTAACTATAATCAGTAATATAAAAAATTTCCAACGTGACATGGATTCGTAACATGATTAACATCATATTTGTCTCTAGTTTGCTTATTTATTTATTTTTTTTTTCTTTCGCTAATAAACAGAGTTCATGCATTTACAACATTGTACTACTACTATCACAAATAAGAATGTTCAAATTTTCATGCATTTTTTAGCTGCACACATATATGAAGAAGGGGAAAACAGGGTAGATTAATTACAGACTCATTAGTCCTGAACATCAAAAATAACATAACTATTCAAACCAGGTGAAAATAAATGAATAATTAATTATTTACATAATATTCAAATACAGCTGAAACTGAAAGAAAAAAAAAAAAAATGCACTTAAAGCAAGCAAACAGTAAGTAGTTTGTTGAATAATTTTGGTTAAAAAAAAAAAAGTTTGTGTTTGCTGAATATAAAATGCAATTACCTTATGAAGAGAGTTAGAGAACTAGTGCACAGAACAAGCCAGTGTACAAGAGGAATTACTCTGTAAGCAAAGCTTTGTTTAATTTTACAAACTCACACACACACACACACACACACACACACACACACACACATATATATATATATATATATGTGCATTTTATTTTTTTATTGATATGGGAATATGGAACGAATATTGCATTTTCTGTTCACTTTATTCTGTTTAAGGAGTTATTATCACTTCTTTGTTGAGAATACCAAGAGATATTTAGGCTATGTTTGGTAGATCAATAAGCTAGCTTATAGCTTATTTGATTAGCTTATAAGCTCCCTATATTTAAATAAGCTCCGTTTGGTAGAACGAACTTATTTGAAAAGCTCGAGCTTATTTGAAAAGCTTCCTTAGGTAGCTTTTCAAATAAGCTAGTTGAATTTTTTATTCCAGTTAGCTTATCAGCTAATTTTACCAAATATTTTTATCATATAAGCTAGCTTATCAGCTATAAGTCATAAGCTATAAGCTAAAAAATTGCTGATAAACTATAAGCTAGCTTATCAGCTATCAGCTAGCTTATCAGCTAGTTTTACCAAACATAGCCTAAAATGATGACTAACTTTCATTAAATATTTTTATAATTTGGACATCAAGTTATACAATCATATTATTCAATTGATATACATAGTTTTCAATCGAAATGTGGTAATCTAAAAAATTAATATAACTAAAAGTATGGCATTGCACAACATAAATATAAATTTTTGTTACAAATGTTGCTACCATTTAGCAGATCACTGTCTAGATCAATTAAACTCTTTCACATAAAGAGTTGTTGGTTGTCAAATTGGACTTAATACAATAAACGTGTTTTCAAGTTATGCAGACAAGAATGTTATTCGAAACGAGCCAAATAGCTCATTTTCGAGCTCATACTCGTTTAATAAACCTAAAAACTTAAAACGATATGTTTCGGGACAATTTGATCTCAAAAAATTAGGAGCGAGTTGCTTGCGGACAAACTTTGCTAGACTTGTTTAAAAAACGGGTTAGGCAAGTTGTTTGAGCTAGACTCATTGAATTGAAATAAATAAAAAAAGATGAATTTTAACTTTCACGAGTTGAACCAAACTCATGTTTTCACGAGTCGAATCGAACTGTATTAACAAACAACTCGATTAGTTTAACATTTCTTTTTTTGGCTTAAATTAGCCACACATTTTATTTTATTCATAAAAAACAAGAAAACAGATTGGCAATACTTACTTGAATATGATGTGCAGCCTTCTAAAGAGAGGAATTAAAGATGAAATGAAGGTTGTTTTATGTTAATAATATTACTAAACAACAATAATGATGACTGAATCTGGAGAAGAAGATGAAGAGATGCTGATAATTAAAGATGACTACTTTGTTCAGAATACCAATAGATGTTATAATGATGACTGATTAACATTATCATATGCAAGGAGTTGAGTTTTGACAAAGAAGACAATACAAACTAGACCAATGACTAGTTCATGGTACAACCTAGGACTATCACGCTGATGAATAAAATTAGCTCGTTCGATCTAGAAGAAAGCTACTATTCATTTAGTAATCAAGCTAAACTCGAATGAGAATTTAAGCTCGTTTTGTTAATCATAGTCGGATAGTTTTCACTTCCAGAGATAGAAAAAACTAGATTTCAACTATCCTTTTTCACAAGTGTAATGAAATAACCAACCATTCTTACATAGTTTTCAACAAGTGAAATAGGTCTTATTTCAATGATAATAACATAAAACTTGTAGACAGTACAAACTTAAACCACAAAACATTATGCATTAACTCATAAATTTTCTGTCCCAAAAGCATAAAACTTAAAATCATAAACATGCAAATCAATTCAAATCAAAACATGTTTAAATCACAATATAATTGTTGATTACAATATATGGCAGATGTTGTTTGTTGCTTCGGTTCTAAGCTTTTCGAGCTGTCTATGAGCTTTCTGCAAAGCATCACTCATCTTGCGAAGTTCTTCAGATTGCTTGTAAGCATCTTTAGCTGCAGCCTCTGCCTTGAGCCGAGCCTCACACTCCTCGGCCACTTGCAGCTCGAGCTTACGAGTCACCTCACTCATATTTGACGACTCAATCTGCATTATAATATTTTTTTTTTTTCAAAATAAAAATAAAAATAAAAAGTATCATTTTGTAAGAAAGAAAATTAATTGCAAAAAGAAAAAAAAAAAGGATAGAGAAAAAAAAAAAGCACCATATTAGTCATTCTCATAAGCTGCTTTTGATACATCATAATTGCTGATTGCTCCTCATGTTTAGATGAATTTGCATCATCAGGTACACGATTAGTACGCAGTTTCATCTCCTTCTGTTTAACAACAAAGAACTGAAAAAATATGTATGCGTTTCTATGAAGGAGCCGAGCAAATGCATAATCAAACTTTTTTTTAAAAAAAAAGCACTCGCCTGGAGTTCGACAAACATCTCTTTGGTATACGTTTTCCCGCCATTTTTTTTCCCGGACCTCATCAACTAGAACAAGAAGTTCCGCAAGTTGCTTTCGTTTCTTGCGCGAATCTTTTGTCCGGTTATCAAACAGAACGCATCTGTTTCCACACTTTTCAAGTATTTCCTGCACGAACAATTTGTCATCTTTATACAAAAANNNAAAAAAAAAAAAAAGATATATTGTCTTTTCGAAACTTTCGAATCTATACTTACCTTCAAGGGCTGGGGACAATCACGACCCAAGTACTCATCCAGAGTCTCTTCATTCTTCGCCAAGTTATCACCGCCGGTAAAAAGTAAAATCATGTAATCCGTAATTTTGCCACCGAATAGCTCGAACAAGGTCTCGATAGCATATTTTTCTTCTTGCGAAAAACGGAACCTTGCCGAGAGGACCAAAACAATAGCATTGATACCTTCTTTTGCCATATCAATGCATTTCGCGAATTCCTTCTCGGTTTTCTCATCTCCACCCATATCACACAACCCTTTTTCGACACAAAATCGCAACAATTTAATGTAATAAACTAAGAAACAAACACTTTTTTATTTTTATAATGTATGTACGTTTATACCGGGAGTGTCAATAATATTAAGAATTGGCCCGTTTTTTAGCTTGATCGTTTGTAGCTCACAAGCTGCTGTGCCGCTACCAAAGTTAGCATTGGACTTAAATAACCTTTTCCCGAGTAAACTATTACCGGTCGAGCTTTTCCCATTGCCCTTCTTACCAAGTAAGACGATGGAGTAAACCTCATTCTGACTTCCTCCCATTTTTCGGACAACTAAGCGTGACAATAGCAGTAATTAGCTTCAAACCAAAATCACAAAATATTCGACAATACGTGAAGTACATTGTGCCTAAAATGTGATTTTTTTCTTAACTATAATCACTAAAATAAAAAATTCTAACGTGACATCGATTCGTAACATCATAGTATTTGTCTGTAGTTGGCTTATTTTTTGATTTTCTTTTTCTCAATTTATGAAGATAAATCTGTTCTATACGAGCATTGTTAAAAGAAAATCGTACACTGCAGGACACCGTCTAACAATATAATAAAAACATGGTACTATCACAAATAAGTGTTCAAATTTTCATGCATTTTTTAGCTGCACATATATAAAGAAGGGGAAAACAGGGGTAGCTTAATTACATAACCATTAATCCTCAACATCACAAGTAACATAACTATCAATTTCAAACCAGGTGAAGATAAATGAATAGCTAGTTATTTATATAGTACTTTAAATATGGCTATAACTCAAATTAAAAAAAAAAAAAAATGCACATAAACAAGCAAACAGTAAGTAATTTATTGAATACATAATTTTGGTTAAAAAAAATTGTGTTTGTTGAATATAAAATGCAATTACCTTATGAAGAAGAGAACTAAGTGCAAAGAACAAGCCCTGTGGAAAAGAGGAAGTACTCTGTAAGCCAAGCTTTATTTAATTTTACAAACTCATATATATATATGTGCATTTTATTTATTTATTTATTGGTATCGGAATATGAAACGAATATTGCATTTTAATTTATTTATTTATTTATTCTGTTTAAGGAGTGATTATAGTTAGAACTCAATCTGGGCCGTTGAAGGGAGAAGATGAAGAGATGCTCATAAAAACCACTTTTTTGTTGAGAATACCAAGCGATATTAAAATGATGATTAATCTAACTTTCATTAAATATTTTTATGATTTGCACATCAAAAGTTAAACAATCATATGAACCAAACATACACTTAATTATTCATATGAATGTTAGCTTATAATAACATGGTTCGGCGAGACGATTTCAATTTACCAAATCCCGTTTTTAATGTAGTATTAAAGTTGTTGGTTGTCAAATTGGACTTAATACAATTTTTTCAAGTTATGCAGACAAGAGGTCACAAGAGTGTTATTCGAATTGAGCCCATTAGCTAATTTTCGAGCTCATACTCGTTTAATAAACGAGCTGACTCGACTCAACTCGTTTAATAATAAATCTAAAAAGTTAAATGATATGTTTCCGAACAATTTTATTTGACTAGACTCTTTTAACAAGCGGATTTGGTTAGCTCTTTGAACTCGACTTATTGGATTGAAATAAATAAACAAGTAGAATTCTAGCTTTCACGAGTTGAACCAAACTCATACTTTCACGAGTCGAATCGAACTGTATTAAGTATTAACAAACAAAATGTATAAAACATCGATCTATTTTGGGTTCGATTTGTCATTTGTGTACAATGCAAGGAGCAATCCTATCTGCTGCCTTGCCTCTGCAAGCCAAAGTAAGTTGTGCCTTCCTTCAAATTTTCGATTAATTTTCTACTCTACCCACTTAGCGAAAAGGAAAAAACACGTACTTGATTTTTCGTTGAACTATTAGGAGGTGGTCTGAATGGTTTTTACGCTTCAGGGTGTGGCTCTTACAAGAGTGCCCACGCTAAAAGTCGTGGTAATAATCAGTGGTGCAAAATTCAAGAACCCATCGATGGTCGAAAAAGCTTATTCTTCACTAATTCAATGCCCGTCCGTGCACTTCTTAGGCCAATTTTTCTGTCAATTTTTGTTGCAAGCCAAGGTTCTTACAGGTAGAAGAACCCATGATAGGAGTATATTGCAAGAATAAATTTTATTGTTCAATTTATTTTTACAAATTAGCACTGTAAAACAGGGGACCAAGATTTCCTGAAGCAATATGGCACCGAACTTTTAAAATCTTATGTAGATCCCATTGTTATTCGGCATCCTAAGGGCCACACGATACCGAGATTCAGTAATTTGATTTAAAAAAAAAAAAAAAATTA